TACTTCAAGTAAAGTGCAAAGTAGTGATGGGCCGAACTTTTACGGAATCGGAAGTTTGGTGCCGAATCTTGGGATTCGGCAAAACCGAACTTTTGCCGAACTTTTCTAAAGATTCGGCAAAAATTCGGCAAAAATACATTATTACCAGACTCGTTGATATTTTGTTTTTTTCTCTGTCCAAAAAAAAGTTTTATGTTCCTTTTTTCTTAACTTAAATGCAACATGTTTACTATATAAGGTGATATTCTGCATCATAATTTTTTCGGTGTCGTTTTTGTGTGTTTACTGGCAATTTTAGTGACTCATTGCAGAAGTGGCGTGATAACGAGGTTGGGTAGAAGCCAGCGTGGCGCAGTCACGAATCACGCTATGAGAGTTTCGGTTTTGAGGCATTATCAGCGCAAGCCTCCATCTGTGCGTACTATGCTAAAATGAAGGCAATAACGCTGCGTTCTTGCTTTTTCTGGAAGTCACCGTTTTGTGCGCAAAAACGAATTCAACGGTTACTGCGCCTTCACCAGAAAAGAGAATAATAATATTGTAAATAAGAATGTTCTTCGATTTCAGTCACTTGACGTCAGCTTTGCATGAAACTGTACGTCCCATATTGGCAACGTCTCGTTTTTAACCTTTAAAATGCCCCTTTCTGGTGTTATACACACAGGAACTTTTCGGAAGATAGGGAGAGTGAATGTCGGATGTGCAGCGTCGAGCATTATAGTTCTGTTTCTGTGTTCAGTTTTCTGCAGATACATGAAAATCGCGGAATAACGCTAATTGAAAAATCAATATCATTTTGTTTTGGAACACACTACTCCTGAGCCGAAAACAGAATTGTTATAATTGCGAGGAGTGCTTTAATCTAATTGTCGGCCAATGTCACAGAATGCACCGCATCATTTGTCACTTGCGCAGTGGACCGCGTAAATTACCGGTCGATCTTCTAATCTTGAGGCCGAAAATATTAAAGGGAACCACACTCGCTCACAAACGCACAGTTACCATGTTGCCTACCCCACACCGCGCCGTAACCGCTGGTTGTACTACACTGCACGATGGTAACCGCACGACTGCACAACGTCAATTTGCAATCCAAAGCTCCCTCGCGTTCTGGCATGTGCGCAGACATTTGCCGAATTTTCGCCGAATCTTTGCCGAACTTTCCTGCAAAAGTTCGTCATTTGCCAAACTTTGCCGCATCTCAAGTACGCATATTCGGTCCATCACTAGTACAAAGTAAATGAGACGTGGTGTATATTAAGTAAAGTATTAAGTACACTGGGTGCAAAGTACTTGAAGTCAAATACTATGAATACAATGTACTTTCATATTAAAATACACGTATTTTAACACAATCTTTCATGATGCCCTTTCATTTCCCTATATATAGTGATTTTTTAACTGATATGCATTGCCCAGGGTTCAGAGGTAATCAGGAGTGCATGGCCAGTTTTCAAAAACCACGGCGAACATTTTATAAAGTCAAGTGGCCACAGAGTAGTTATTTTCTGGAATGGAGCCAAATTCAGAAGTACATCTTCTGAATTTCGCGCCCCTTGCACTGGATTCTTGCACTCAAGAGGCTAAATGTAACAGGAGAGTGCATAACGTCAGCCCCATAGGCTCCGCAAGCAATCCTTTCAAAGAGAAGTGTCCTCTCCTTCATGCAAAACACAGTGAGTGTGCAAGCGCGCAGGTGATAATTAATCATAATGTGAAACCTGAGATTGGAGCGCGAAAAAATTAAGGAACTTTCAAATAGAGGGAAAAGACAAAACAGAATTTCTCAGAGGATTCTGACGTTCTCCTCTGTTGTCTTTTACTTCGACTTGAAAATTCAATTGTTCCGCACCACAGTCTCAAGTGCTACATCACGATTAAGTTTGCTCTCCTAATTTTTTAAACCTACTCGCTTGCGCTGATCGACCGAGAGGTAGCGAGAGTTCAAAAAGCTACGGAAAAGCCGCTACCAGAACCAATGGAGCGATGCGTCGTCAGTTCAAGTTTCTGGCAAGAGTAGAATATCCCACCCAGTTTTTCTTCGGAGTTGACAAAACATCACTTCGTGATACAAATATAACAATACCAAATTTGGGGAATGTACTTTGAAGTCGGCAATTGTACTTTTCTTGGAAAGTACCAGAAAAAAAATACTTTAAGTGAAGTACAAGTACATACTTGGAGAATGTACTTCAAGTAAAGTACAAGTTTCCTAAACCTACTTGAAGCAGTACTTTAAGTACAATGTACTTAAAATTCTTCACAACACTGCCTCAATTAATGATGGCACACACTTGGCTGTCTCGTCATCTCGCGTTCCCTGCGCCTTCTCTGTGTTGCCCTTTGATTGGCGTGCGCCTGCTTGCGTTCCGATGTGCCGAAGACGCATTTTGGGACATTCGCCGGCACCGGTTGTGTTGTCACGCGAAAGCATTATATGCCCCATTACGCGAAAATTCGGCGTCGCCTGCCGCTTGACCGAGCGATTGTACCAAAAATGACCGACGGCGCGAAGAGTAAAAACAAGTCAAAAGCGCTCGGATTTACGTCGAATGCCTCAGGGAGGTTCCTGTAAAGAAGGTAAATTAATGTCTTTGAAAAAGAAAAATTGATACATTTCGGTCTGGGTGGGAATCGCACGCGGGCCCCCGGCGTGCAAGACGAAAACGCTTCCCCAACGCCACAATGGCTTGTTTTTTTTTGTTTTTTTTTCAACAAAATTTAAGTGCATTCAGATATCGCAGTTACACGTAGCATGCGTGGACACTTTTATAAGTTGAGTCAGTCCATTGTGAGCACAAGGGGACACAAAGAGCACAAAACGTCAGTCCCGGTTAACCGCCTGGAGTCAGAAAACCGTTCTTGCGCTTGCCCTCACAAGTCCCGTTGCCCAACCGCAATCAGCCCCTAGCGGTCTAGAAAGCTTGGGAGCCCTAGTTAGCGTCGCTCCTGACCCTCCGTTGCCGGACGCGCTGGCGTCTGAGCTGTTTCGCCGCCAGTCTACTTTTATGTGCTGTCATTCTCTTCCTTCGTGGTATTCCTCTCCCGCGGCAATCGAGAGGAGCCACCTCAGCCTTGACGTGAAGGAGTCCCATGTCGGCTTGGCTTCGGTGTGACACTACACCATCGCAGTGCGCACCAACCAAATGGGGTTCTGGCTGACTAAAGATGCGCTTAGAGCCTGCGTCATTGCAAAAGTCACGTCGCAGCCATCTTTAAACATCACGTCGCAACCGAAGTTCATCGTTCTGCAGCGAAATGGACCGATTGCTTCTGGTCTGTGGCCAACGGATAAGCAAACACACAGACCCAATCACCGAATAACTCAGTCAATCACCGAATCATATCACCAAAGTGACTATACTACTTTCGCATTCCCATACGTAAACAGTCTTAAGTGTCTGTGCCGAATTTTTTAGGTAGAAACGTTTCGTAAGTTGCGTCATAGCTAGGCTCTCGGCGTAGACTGTTGTGAGCGGCTATTTAAATATGAGGGGAATTCAAGCTCGAAGGCCTCATAATTCATTTATAAAAAGGCGACATCAACACAAAGCAGACACTGTGTCACTTTTCTACAGAGTGCCCTCTTTTTCAATACTCTTTTTGCAACATGGACGCCACTACTCCATTTGCGCTCGAAAAAAAAAATATTTCGGGGTCTTTAAGAACCAGTGGAATTCGCAAAAGCCAATACTAATGCAACAAAAAAAAAAAAAAGAAAAGAAGAAAAAAAAAAAAACATTCGACAGCGGCGAGATATCCTTCATAATTGAGGAGAAGGAAAATATGCTGAGGACAATTTCGGGGGAGTAGGGGGCATGAGGGATCAGTTGAAAGTAGTTCCTGCGAGGAATATGTCCTCAGACATCGCTGGTCAGTCGGAGCATGCACTGTCGTGATGAAAGTTCGCAACTGCGGCCTTTTTCTAGGCGCTTTTCATCTGATACAGAAATAAACTCATTAAACGCATGAAATGATTTTTAACAAAACTCCCCCTCACCCACTTTCAAAATTTAGTCTATCCGACCTTCTGCGCATTTTCCGCTAAATATAGCGAGCAAATTTATGTCACGTGAACAATACGCTCATTCAGTTTCGCCACTAAATTTAGAAGGAACATTAACGTCACGTGATCTATGCACCAATTCAATTTATCCGATAAATTGGGCGGAAAAATTGATGTTATGTGACATATGCACCGATTCAGTTTCCCGCTAAATTCATAAAATATAAGTCGTTCAGCGCTCCTCAAAGCGGCTGTGTAACGCATTCTAAACAAATTTAAACGATTGCTCATTAAATGGGGCATTCCATGGCTTGCATTACTTTGGAGTTAAATATTACAACCAATGGGTATCTATTGACGTCTCTGTAGGACGTATCCGTCGCCTTTGTACCCTTCGGAATACAGTGAGTGAGGATAATGCCTTGACTGTTTCAAACCAAGGACACCGTCATCTTCTCTGCACCGGCGGTAACACAACATGTCTTTGTTGACGGGGAGTCGCATTGTTTCCATTACTGCGACAGGCGTTTGGGTTCAGGGTTGATACCAGCATTCTTACCTATTATATTGTAACAATTGATGCAAGAAAACCATCACTCATGCCGTCATCACGCAATAAACGCGCCTAATCGGTGTAGATATCACATAAGTTTATTCTGTTTTTCAATATGACAGTCACCATTTTTAGTGTCTGAAACTTTTAATTGGACCTTGTAGTGCAAAGAGTTTTCGATGACACTCATAGCGTCGCTCTGTCTCACACTCATACACCTTAAAATATCTGAAGTGCTTGTCATCCCGCAATTTCCTCACTTTTCAGGGCAAACAATTATGGGACATTACAACTTGAATGCCCTAGTACTAGATGGGAAGAGCAGACGTACGTCTTGAGCGTTCGTCTTATGCCATAAACAAGAACACTCTAGACACTCGCCTGTTATACATTCAAGGGCATCTAAAACGTGCAGTTTATGTACAAAGCATGCTGACTTACAGATGTGACAGCTGGCGCGCAGCCCTTTTAACACCACGGAATTTACCGTCATCCGTCACGGCTGCGACAAAATGTTCTTTCACACAAATACCTCCGATTCGTCCTACAATGCCTGAGAAATTTAAATAGAAACATAAGTTATTTAAGTGGTACATCTAGGTCACAAAATAAATCAATTTGGAGATTTACATCAGTTGTAGAACGTAACATTTGTCTACACACCGGTCAGAATGTCGCGCCGTTTGCTGGTCACGTCATTGTTGTTGATTGTATTTTCAAACTCACTCATGGATACATTTCTAATGCCTGACCTGCAAAACATATAAAGACGAAAAACTAATACATTTTTGACGATGCCAAACGTTTTTAACGGTTTATCGAGCTTTGTTTTTTTACAACTTATTAATTGCACGTCAATAGTATTACACATATGAAAAAATGATACGCTGTGTACACACTAAAATGAGGCTATATAACCGCAAGTAAAAACAAAAATACCCTGAGACAATTTTTCCAACTTTAATATCAAGCGTATAGTATTAAAAAAGCATGAATCCCCTAAGATCCGCCAAATTCGGATGAGTTCAAAATGGTGACAGGGGAGGGCGGTAGATTACTCCAGTCACTGACGGCTCGTGGAAGAATATGATAACTTCAAAATGTTTGATTGGTTTTTATAAAAAATAAAATGCATACAAGATAAAAATAATAATTCAAATGTTTTATCAAAAATATAAAGATATAAAAAGACTTCATTGTTTACGACTTTTTGTATATAAAACAAAGATTTAAGATTATCACACAAGACATCTACCAAACAGTGTTGCGGAGCTGCTACTTCGGAGTAGGAATGATTTCGGAATAATTCCGGACTTGCGCGACCCCGGATTGGAATGGGAATGGAATGGTGGCAACGCTAAGGGGAATGAAGGGGGATTAGATCCCTTTCGCCCTGAACGGAGTAGCAATGGAACGGGCTCGGTTCTTATGCGAGCTGTGTCGATTTTCTTCTACGGCCTACGGGCCGATGGCTCAATTCGCTATCGCGTGATAAGTGGCTCTTGATACAGCATCGTTGCACTAGAGGTACTGAAGGATTCATTGCTTCACTGGCTTATGCTCTTTCGACGATGAAAATGGCGCGCTTCGGTGAAGCATGCAACCAAACTGGAGACAGACAAGGTGTGGTTCCTAATGGCACAAGACGCGACAAAGCGGTTGTTGTAGTCACGCGCAATTAGCATGCAGCTTTCATCCAGGGTGTCGAACCGGACCCGAACGGAGCACCGGAGCAAATTTCATTTCTACCTGAACCAGAACATAACAGTAAGCGAAATCAAACATGATTGAACCCGAGCAGGAACAGAACCGTAATCTCGTGTGGCGGTTAGCAGTTCATTGGAAACGGTAACGCGTAATAAAATGTGAGCCGCACTTCCTTGCACGTGGCTGCGCGAAGTCGAATAAATATTGGCACCGGTGGCGTCAGCGGCTCAGTTTTGACTAAACAAACGGCTGCGACGACTAATTTGTTTTTGTGGGTATCTTGCTGTGCGTGCTATTGTCACGGTGTCACTGTACGTGCCGTCTGACTGACTGATTGACTGACTGATCGCGTGTGATTGACTTAATGTGCGAGTATTGTACTTTAGTACTGTCTCCAATCGCCTGCATAACAACGTAATTTTTATAGAACGGTGTTTGGGTTAAGAATGCCAGATGACAAATCAAAATTAAGCACATATTTGTTTTGCTTTCCTTGTTTTCGGAGCACGGCTTCTGACGACCTAACTTTTTTTTAATGAAGGTGACGTCGTGTTAATCTCACCTTTTTACTTAACGACTGGGAGCTGTGGACTTTTCTTTCAAGAGCCACTTTTTACTGCTTCGCGCTTTGTTGAATTGGTAACCGAACCGTTATTTCAAAAGCGTCCCTAAACCAGAACCGAACCGGAACCAAATGCGAAGCAACTTGAACCCGAACCGAACCCGAATAATGACCGGTTCGACTCCCTGATTTTCACCCAGCCGATCGTCTAGTGTTTGTGTGGAACACAAATAAAAAAATGAATATAGAGCAAACCTACAACTTCACGTTTTAAGTTAGGTTCTATAATGTGGTGGTAGAGACTTCTGTGCTTGCGCCGTATAATGCTTGTACTTTGTCAGTGTTTCTTTCTTTTTTTCTTTTCTTTTTTCTTGCCGCAGTCCGTGGAGATATGGGGCAGGTGTACGGCGGCATGGCTTCGAACAGCGCACTATCGGTGCTGTTGTGCAAGTGCATTCGAAACAGAGATCAAGTTAGTTTCTTCTTGCTCCACGCTCGAACTAGACATTTTTAAGGCCTCATCAAACAAACGACACGCTAACCATGTACCTGTGGAGGGTATACCTGGTCTGTCTGCAAAGAAAATAGATGTTTAAATACTGTGGCGTCTGTTTGTACTCTCAAGCCTTTTACGCTTGAGCGCGCGATGAATGTCTGCAGTGTCAAGTGGTTGCCACGAAGCGGATTGTGCGACCTCCCTTTGGCTTAACAGAATTAGTACTTTGAGGATGCTAGTGCATAATTTTGCAGCCGTCTCCTCGTTTGATAATATTAGCAGCTTTATGCTGTTGTTTTTTTCTTCTGTAACACAATGTGACTCCCACTGGCCACTTTTTCACCTTTAGGAACTGGAGGAATGGAATAGTGAAGTTCAGCCAATCCAGGAGTGGGAATGGGCACAGTGTCTCCATCCCGAGGAGTTGAAAGGAATGGAAGTTTCAGAAACTCTAATTCCCCGGAATGGAGTGGAATTGGAATGGAATGGAGTGTCCATTACGCAACACTGCTACGAAACAGATGATAATATTGTCACGCATATAAAAATCACGTATATTGGATGGTGACTATAAAAGAAACTAAATTAGTTAAGTTTATTATTACCAATCTTTGTTAAAACAGTTGAAATTAAATTAACTAACCAACGCGGTGCTTATATAGTGGCCAACTGCCAGTGCCTCACAGTTTTTTTTTTTTTCTCTAGCCTTAAATCGACGTCTTCCTGGCTTCGTTACAAAATTTTTGGCATGGTGGCACAAATATGCGTTGAGCTCATTTCTTTGATTTCTGAAAACTATATATTTAATGCGAATGTATTAACTGCCCATGTAGCAAAGCCGGCTTTGTCTGTAAACGTCTGCTACAGAAAAACGGCACCTAAATTTCCATTCCCAATAAAACACGCACGAAAAAAAGACACAGCAATGCCTCGACACGGAAGCGGGCGAGTGCGCTCAAAGTCAACGTGGACGCGCTTCAAAAATAAAACACAAAGAAAAGCATAGCAACGAATGCTTCGTCAGGGAAGCCGTCGTGAAGCAGACAGGGATCGCAGCGCCTGCGCAGTGGGCAACATTATTAGATAACCTCAGTTACGGAACTGCTCATAGACGCCGCATGCACGAACAGTACCCCCCCTCACTCCCCACGACTCGCCAAGCGTCGCTCGACGCGCCGCCAGATGGCTGCTTTGGTAACTGAATCAGGATACGTACGTTTCAACGTTACTAAAAAACTAAAAACCAACGAAAAAAAAAAACTCTTTTTGTCGTAACTTTTATTGGAGTTTAGTACAAAATGGGGGGCGCGTTATGTTTTCTCAGATCTTTAGTTTGCTAGGTTTTGCGGCTCAAAATTATATTTTTCATACAACCATGCCTCAGTGGCAGACTTGTACCGTACGCATTACAAGTAATCAAATTACTTGTAATCGATTACTTTTTGAAGTAATCTTGTAATCAGTTGATTCCTTTTATTAGGCAGTAATCACAAGAGTAACCTGATTAATTTTTGAAGTAATAAAAATTACTTCTAACCGTTACTATTTTTTCACGGGACCACCCCCTCCCCCCCCCCCCCCCCCCCCCCCTTTGCACACAGCTTTTTTTTTCTGAAATGACAAAAATAAAATATTGCTTTGTTTTCCGAGCCGAAAAAAAATTAATTTTTTTGCGGAGCAGTGAGAAACGAGGTCAACCCCTTTGCATGTACAGTTTCTGTAAAATGTCCGGTTTTTTATTGTTTGTTTTTTCCCCGAGCTGGGATTAGGGTGCATGACTAAGGCCATTCAGGGCGAAGTTTGAGGGAGCAAAATGTAACTTTGTAAGTCCTTCGTTCAAACTAGCCCCCTCATTCACACACACACAGAAATAATAATAATAAAAAAAACAATCCTGCTTACGGCACCTACTCGCAGCCAGTAGGAGAACCAGAACCGAAGAATATCTAAAGCGGATGCAAAATATAACAAAGCCAGTTCAAATATTTCCTTATGTACTCTACGTGGTTTTTGTGACAAGCGAGGTTTCGAGTTGAGAAGTGGTTGGGGCGATCTCTTCCGCTAATGTATACTACACATGATCCGTTTCAAATCCTGGAGCTGCTGCTCTTTTGTATAACATATGAGTTCATTCACATGTGAATAATAAAATGAGCGACGCAAACTTTGAGCGACAACCCTTAGAACTCCCTCCTCTCCCACTCACCCCCCCCCCCCCTTTCCACTGGCGAACGCCCAAATCATTAAACTTCTCTAAACGAATTCTATGCTTGTGTTCTGCATTGTGAAGGTCCAACGACGATGAAGAGGAAACCCGCTTTTTCTTCTTCAATACTTGTGAAAATGTTAAATTTAGGTTGGAAGTAGTTCATTGTTATGGAGCGCTAAAGATGTAAGACTTCACACAACAAAGTAATCGGAAATGTAACGGTTACTTCTTAAAGTAATGTTCAATTACTTTTGCTGTCGATTAATCAAGTTATTTAATCGAATACTTTTTAGCCAAGAGTATTAGTAATTCTAATCGATTACTTTTCTTTAGTAACGTGTACAAGACTGCTCAGCCGTAATTTCAGGTAGCGCGTCCCGACCAGCGGCGCGTCCGCTGGGGAGACGGAGGTGGCATCCCTCAGAGGCGTATATTGGGAGAGTTTGGCCAGTGGGTGTGGCGACAAAGGCGCCGGAGAGGAGAAAAGTATATGAAAGGGAGGAGAGCACCGAAGGAGCGAGAGAGAAAGAAGGGAGCAGAGAGGAGACGACCGCCATTTTTTAGCAACGCTGTCGGAGACTGGTCGGAGAAGAGCACTGCTGAGGCTACGCGTCGTCTGCTACGGGCCGACTTCTTTTTCGCCTGAATAAAAGTTTGTGGCCATACGCCGAAAAATCTTCATTTGTTAGATTTTTAACCCAACGAGGAAAAACAGAATATCATCTTCTTGCCAGAGCCAGCGATATAAAAGGCAATAATCGAGATTTAGATGCCGATCCCACGCATTCCGCCGGGAGAATGATCGAAGATGGCGGCCCACCCCACTCAGGTGGGAGCAGCCGAAAGTTCACGCGCATGCGCTCTTGCCTCTCGCTCTGCGCCGCGTGCTGATTGGCTCACTCGGAAGGAGAGCGTTGCGGCGGCGAGATCATAGACTGACCAAAGTCTCCCTATATACGGCTCTGGCATCCCTGTAACCCTTTCCACTGTATCTGCTGTGTTTACTGCTGTATTTACTCCCGCTGCAGGGTAAATGGGGGCGTTGTGATCGCCATTTGGCGCTTCACCTGGGCTCTTTGAAACGCATAGTTATGACACGAAAATATAGATGGCGCTTCGAACGACGCTTGGCGGGTTGAATTGAGTGAGGCGGGTACCCCCCTCCGCGGGAGTTCCACAACTGAGGTAATCTAATAGCGTTGGCAATGGGGAAGCATGACATCACCGCTGGAGCGCCGTGTCTTAAAGGAAGACGTAGCGAGCTGCTTGTATGAACACGCTGCGTGTAGGAATGCTTCCGCATTCCTACACGTAAGCAGTCTTAAGCGCCCCTGCCGAAGTTTTTGTTGCTTGTTATGTACACGTATGTCTGAGTTTTGCACTGATGTGACCTCCTGCATAACTCTTAACTGGTCCGCAAGTATAGATATAAATAAAAAAATGAATAAATATATGCTAAAATAAACAAAATTAGTTGTGTCAAGCTAAAGAGGTATATTTCTGTATAAAATGGGCAGTTATCATTTTAATATTAAAATAAAGGTCACGAGCTAACCTGTTTTGATTCTTATATTTCATTTAGAGCGCCTCTCTTAGGCGCTCGTTTACGACTTGAGCGGCGTCGCCATCGCCGTCTCCGTCGGCTTAACCACGCGTTGAATTATAAGAAACGTCCCATAATGCAAAGCCCGGGTCTCATTTGTGACCCGCGCGTTGCATTATAGGACGTTTCCAATAATTATGCCACTTGTGGCGTCACGTGTGACATCACGAGGGTCACGAGTGACATCACAGGGATCCCACGCGTTGCATTATGGGGACCGCCCCATGATGCAACGCGCGGGTCACGAGTGAGACCCGCGCGTTGCATCATAGTACGTTTGCCATAACGCAACGCGCAGGTCTCACTAGTGACCCGAGTGTTGCATCATGGGACGTTTCCGATAATTACGTCACACGTGACGTCCCAAGGGTGATGGGGGTCCCGCGCGTTGCATCATGGGACGTTTCCCATAATGATGCCACACGTGAGTTCACGGGGTTCACGAGTGAAGTCATGAGGGTCACAAGTGACGTCATGAGGGTCACAAGTGACGTCACGAGGGTAACAAGTGACGTCGTGACAGTCACGAGGGTTACGGGTTACGTCAACAGTGTCGTCACCAGTGGCGTCACCAAAGACACTCGTGAAGGTCACGACGAAGGTCACGACCACTGATCTCTGTCTATTTGCTGGATCGCGTTTGACCAGCTTCGCCTATGGACGGGAATGCGGCCACGGTCAGCCATCTTTTTGGTAGAGTTATATTATCTCTAGCCACCATAGTAATATGGCGGACAGCGCAATGACGGCAGGCTGCCATAAACACTGTACCGTGGGTGATATTTTGTGCTTGATTGAAGTTTTTCGACGAAGCAGATTCTTGAAACCTGCTAATTTCTACTTTGTTAAGATTTCTTATAAGGTACAAACCATTAAAGTGATGACACGCGTATCTAATATACTTGCAATTTACAGGGTGATCGAGCACACTGTCGAGCGCTTTGTTCAAGCCAAAATAGACGATGATAGTCTGGGGTGGTTTGCCAAAAAGGAGCCAACGCTGTGTTTGGAGATTTGTGTTTCTCTTTTAGCCCTCTTGTTCCCCTTCTCCAGGGATTATTTTCGTCATTCTTGTCCAGCTCGCTTGCACCTTTGCATTTAATTGCATTATAATGGTGACTGAGATGCACTACAGATTTAATTTTCATTGACTTAAAAAGTACACGTTTAACTTGCCACACCTTCATATGGAGGAATTTGAGGAGCTCATTTAACTCCCAAAATGTTTTGACAATGATAGCACGAAAGCATTTGGGCAGAACTTTGGCTTTGACAGAGAATACCATCTAATGCAGTACATAACTAAAACGTGCAATTGTTTATTTTACTGTGTTGTAGTATTACTGCATCGCCTTCTTTGGCTGCCAGTTAAAAAAAAATCACAACTCACCTGGTAAGAAACAACACAGCATCTATATTCCTGTACTTTTCCTTGTGCAGCCGTGTCGCAAGCCTGTTCCCGTACACCTCAAGTATCGCAATCAAAAGTTCGGCATCTAGGGCTTTTCTGTCTGCAGTGAGAGCTCTGTAACTCTCCTGCAAAAGCAAGATATTAAGAACAGTTTCTGCATTAAAGAACAATTATAGAAAACGTAACTTACATTCCATTGACTGGCTCCCAGAAGACTAAACTGCACAGTTAGTGTTGGTTCCGCAGTTTTCAGAATTTTGTTTACCTGGAAACATAACAAGCCAACAAGAGTTATGACGTGACTCAAACATTTTGTTGGAGTCAAAACAATGCATGAATGAATAATTGAAAATTTCAGAGTCTTCACTTATTTATTAATGTATTATCTTTATTTCGGGAACAAACTATCAGCCACGGCGAACATCCGGGATTGCGCAAAACGTACTAATCAGGCAAGAAATTATAAAAAAAAACGCTACAAATTAACTTTTAGTTAGTGAAATATACATCAGGTCCCAATAAAGACCTGTTAAGCGTTGTTGAAAATGTCCAAATCAGTTGATTTTAGGAATGATTAAACCACGTGCGAAGCGTGGGAGTTTAGCGCAGTCCCGCACTTATGCTGTAGGCACAAGGCTGGGGACGCGAGAACGAGGATGATAAAAGTATCATCCAGATTTTGGCATCCCCAGCTTTGTGCCTGCTGCTCCAGTAAAAACTGTAGCGCACCCCCAAGCCCCCCCCCCCTTCTTCATACGTACTTAAACCTTCCTAAATTGACACACTTAGGTGTTTTTGATGACGGTTAAAGGGGCACTGACACATCAAAATCATTTTTTTTTTCATTATCCGCAACGATTGAAAACGATGCCGGGACATTACCCTCAAAATTTGAAATTTGGGAATTCAGTATTTGTGAAGTAAAAAAACAATTTCCAAATGCCGAATTCGAAGTTCCCGCGCGATCGGCGCCGGTGCCGTGACGTCAAATATTGCGGAGTCCTGAGAGTCCACTTTCTTTCACCACTCCCTGCTGTTGCCATGGCGACCCAAAGCGAGGAGGAAAGGAGCGAGCGCCGGCGTTGCGGCGGACCGGTTTTGAGCGGTGTCGCCTGTTTTCCGTTGGAGGATACAAGTCCAGGAGACGGCACCACAACGAACTCCCGATTTTTGGTATTTTACAAAGAAGGGCCGTAGTGCGTTCGCAATTGCGTTAAAAAGCATGTTTTAGGATTGCCGTCATTAAATGTTATAAATATGCCGCCTACAAGGCTTCTAAATATCATGATTCTTGACGTCATGAATCAAAAGAAGCGAGGAGGCGAGAGGCGGGAGAATCAATCGCCAAAAATAAAAAGGCGCGCGCGCTCTGGGAAAATATTTTTTCGCGATGCGTTTTTTTTGCGTGTCTATATGACTGCAACTTGCATCGTTTTAGACAATAAAAATAAATATGACCTTTGGGGTGTCAGTGCCCCTTTAAGGAAGTTTCAAACTGAAACCATATATTGATTTTGACTAATTGAAAGGTAATAAATAAACTTCAGGAAAATATTACACTAATTAGCAGGTTTGTTGCAACCTTGATGCCCACCATGACAGGAAGTTTCTTATCGAAAATTTTTTTCTCAACCATTCTATTAGTAGGAATTTGTTTTTAAATATTCGCTGAAACACCCGGTAAAATTGTGTACTTAAGAGCACTGTAACACTGGGTCTGAACGGTTCAAGCTAAAACTACGACAAAAGTATAATAACCAACGAATACGACGCATAAGCTGTTTTCATCGTAGTCCTTAATAAATAAAATGGCACGCCAAAATAGGATGATGCTGTGTCTAGGCTTATTTAGTAATACGAAAAAAATATAAAACAGGTCGAAATGTTAGTCGCCAAGTTGGGGGCGTAGAGGTTGGCGGTGGAAATGCTTAAGTGGAAGTTGAAAAACAAGCGGAAAAAAAAGTGTACACTGTTTCGTCGGCAAGACATAATAGGTGTATATTTTATACAAGCTCTGAATAGACAAGGAAAGGACAACCCTTGCAAAAAGTTTCTGTTGCATTTTGCAGGGCGTGCGGAGGTAAACAAAAACAACATGACAGACCTTCCGGGAAGAGTATGTTACTCTCGGTTGTCTATGATGTTCGCTTGTTTTTGACGACTCGCACTGAGTAGAGCAAGCTACAAAAGTCTCGCCTCTGAGCACTAACTTAAGTACCTCCTGAAATTCATTTATACGGGACCGACATGCCTTCCCGATCTCTTGGGTGATTAAACGCTTTCAACTACTTCTTGAACGGGAAGGCATCGGCGTGGGCATCTATGTCAACCAGGTGCCGAAGATATGTGCCGAGCTTCCCCGCGGGGGTCGCCGACCTTTGTCTTCGTTTTAGCAGACATTCTTCCGAAAGTTTGTATTACGCTGCCTTCAGCACGACGCGAGTCTCTGCAATGCCCAATTATCTCGTGTTTTGTCCAGGTTGCTTTGATGTTCAAGATTTCTTTCCCAGAGCACCGTGTGAGCTTCTATTTATACTTGCCGTAATGGCCCGGTTGGCACCTATCGTTGTACGGAGATGGTTGGTCGAGGCGCCGCCGCGCCCCTGGTACTACATGGTTGAGTTTATCTCGTTGAGCCATCTGTCGACAGTACATCGAAGTAGACTAGCACCGTCTGCTTAGCTGCGATCACCGAGGCTCAGAAGTGTCGGCGGCCTCCCTCGTGACGAGATAATTAAGTAACTAATGAACCATAACTGATGAACCAAGAGTCGTCCCGCACCAACCCAAACACAAGGTAAACATAGGAAAACGAGAAGTATCTCTTTCCTCTTGTCATGGCGGTCGGAGGTGGCGCCAACACCCTGAATTTAAGTGAATGCGAAATTAAACACACTCAGAAAAGACAAACAAGACGAAGCATTCGTGGCTATATTTTCTTCAACTAATTACACTTAAAAACACAAGTTAATTACCTACTTATTTATAAAAGCCGCCAATCTTGCGAGGAGCTTTTAGCAGGCAGTCAACTGCTTATTCCAGCGCATGCGGTTTGTTATACGTAGTTCTACATACCCCTACTCTAACATTTCTGAAAGGATCTGATTTTTAAGAATATATTCAATATAAAGCAGCTTCATTTTGTGAGTTAGAGACACATAAATACTTTTTTATTGGTAATGCACATGTGCTACACTGTCGCAATGCCTTCATTAATCTTTAAAAAAAATCAGATCTTCATTACAGTGGTGCTAATTGCTAAAATCCTTCGCGATTCAATAGGATATGCAGCCATCGGCACACAGCCTTGTTTTTGCAGAAACTTTGGGAATAATTTCGTTAATGAAGAGCAAAAATAAAGCGGTTCCAGAGCCATTCATTGCGGTACCCGAAAATCAAAAATATATTATCAGTTCAAGCACCGCAAAAATCCATATTACCTTCTAGAAAGGTATTTAACGATGCATTTCACGCGTGGCAGCCATAATTTCTTTTTTTTTTTGCCTTTAGTTTTCAATATTGTTTATCGCGTTGTTTATTTCTTGTGGACTGTCATTGTTGGAATACTCGACCTTACACAATACTATTGCTTCAATTTCGGCTTTCAGAGGAGAAAATACTAAGAATTCATTAATGTAATCAAAGGCACTTTCATTCACCTCGTATAGATGGATAGCAAACGTTTCTCAAATAAAAAGACCTCGCCCTAAAGTGCGTTTTGGGATAAATGTTTGTTATTAATTCATATCCTAAATATACACTTAACGATTTTATGACATGTTTCCAGCAATATTTCGATTAAACTTCCATTTTTACCCAAAGTAACGAGGTTTATCACTGAATCCATCCCGAGCAGATAAAATACCAGGCATCATTGTTCGCTTCGCTCATCAGACAATCAGAGATGAATGGCTCAGTAAACGGCAGATTCTAAGGAAATCAAAAGACGATGCTTACATTCAAGAAAATCTAACCAAAGGAGACCGAGCCTTTCTTCGGGAAACAAAAGAATGGGCCAAAACAACGAATTATCGGTACGTATGGTACAAAAACGGCCACGTCCTTGTGCACAAGGAGGATCGCGAGCAAGTGCACGTGATCAGGTCTGTGGATGAATTAGAGAAGCTAGTGTGATGCCTCATGTGACACGCACTCAATTTTAAGATGTTAGTCTTTTTTCTTTTAAATGGATGGCACGGATAGTTTATTGAATAAACGGAACTTTATAACTTTATGTCCAGTGACTATTTTCTTCCTTCGAATGTGAAATATTTTTTAGGAAACGAGTATATCGATGCTCTTAAATGATTTCAACTGAACGCTCTATCAGCGCGAAATAAAACAGACGAGCTTGAATTATTTTTTTATCAGTTGGAAATTTCGTTTGATATATTTATGCTTTCAGAGACGTGGTTTACGGATAATACAAACGTTTTAAATTTACCAATGTACAACAGTTACATTTTAAACCGCACAGAATATCGCGGCGGGGGCGTTGGCCTGATAGTAAAGGATGACATTTCCTGTGAAATGCTATTTGTTTATTGCTGCGTTCACAAAGACTACGAGATGCTGTCTTTACTGATGGGAGAGAGCATTATAGCTGTCTGTTATCGCCCGCCAAGCGGGAACTTGTCTTCCTTTTTTGCTTACTTGGAGTCTTTTCTTGAGTTCGCGAATGAAAATAAGTACAATGTAATCTTGGGAAGCGATTTTAATGTTAATATGCTACTTGACATGGACATGTAAATTACAATTCGATGCGTTAATTAAATCAAACGGATGTGAAAATATGATAAATACTGCTACAAGAATTACAATGCAATCATCGACATTATTAGATCTATTTATTACAAGCTACGATACATCATATATCAAATCTGGCGTAGTGATAGCTGATATAAGCGATCACTTGGGTATATTTTTGTGTATAAAGAAAAATCAAACTATAAACATAAAATATAATGAAGAGTTAGCTATACAGTTTCAGAATATAACGGCTGATAACATGAACGAATTCAAACAAAAACTATCTTGTATGGATTGGGACGATGTCCTTCATGAAACGAACGCAGATAGAGCATATAACTTGTTTTTGAACAAATTCAAACAACTATATGAAAGCTGCTTTCCGTATAAAAAATTAAGCTCTCATAGTAAATGTCGTAAACCGTGGATTACAAAACAATTGCTCAAAAGAATTCGTACTAGAAATGCGTGATACCAAAAATTTGTAAAAACAAAATCACTCCAACAGCTAACAGTATTTAAACGCTATCAAAACCAATTAAACAAAGAACTCCAAAATGCTAAGAAAATTTATTTTTATTACTTTTTTCTTTCTTGTAATAACAGAGTCGACGTTGTGTGGAAAAACTGAACTCTTTATTGGGTCGTTTGTGCGCCACAAAACAAGTTTTAAAGATTAGCCACAATGATCAAGAACTGTCAGGACAAGCTTTGTCAAATGCGTTGAATGACTTTATGTAAGTCTGGTTAAAGAACGTCTAGAGTCAGATGCTTGCAAATACATAAATGCTCGAAATAATGAATCCATGGTTCTTATGCCTGCTACGGCTTCAGAGGTAATATTTGTCTTTAATGTACTAAAAAAATAGCCTAAGTTGCGACTCCGATGGATTGCAGATCAAACCAGTTAAATGTGCAATTGATCTTATTTCTCTTCCCTTAGCACACATATACATTCTCTGTTTCATAAACGGTGTGTTTCCTTGTCAAATCCAGCTAGCGAAGGTAACAGTCTTATATTAAAAAAGGAAATAAAAAAGAACTGGGCAATTATCGACCCGTTTAAATTCTTCCTGTTTTCTCTAAGGGTTTAGAAAAAGTTATACTGCTACTTCGAATGACAACATTTGCTGATAATCATGACTTGATTAGCTCGTCGCAGTTTGGTTTTCAAAAACATCGATCCACAGAACTAGCTCTCCTTGCGCAAAAAGAACATTTACTTGGAAATTTTGAAAGAAAGAAACTCACTCTCGGCTTATTTGTAGACTTTACAAAAGCGTTCGACTATCTAGATCATAATTTGCTACTAAAGAAGTTAGATATGTATGGATTTCGTGGTCATGTATCAAAACTTTTACGTTCATATTTATCTTCCCGGAGACAGTATGTTCATACAAACGGCCACCCATCTGAAATAAAACCAATTGAACCAGGGGTTCCCCAGGGAAGAATTCTCGGGCCATTCGTATTCAATGTATATATAAATGATATCGTAAATATTAGTCACTCAACTCATTTTTTTATTTACTCAGATGATGCAAGCTTATTGTTTGATGGTGATGATGCGTCGGAGCTTATTGAGTACGCGAACGAAACACTAGAAAAGCTTAGTAGATGAAGTAGACATTATGCATTAAAAATAAACGCCGTTAAGACAAAAGCAGTTATATTCCGACCTAAAAATAAACATATTAATATTACCAAGGATATTTTTATAAATTCTTCTCGGATAGAAATTGTTCCCGCGTTTAAAACTTTGGGCGTTATTTTTCAAGAAAACTTGTCATGGGACGACCATATTAATCATATCGTATCAAAATTATCGAGCATCGTCGGTATTCTCTATCGTCATAAACAATCTCTACCACTTAGAGCAAAGTTAATATTATATAATTCATAATTTTATTCACATTTAAATTATGGTCAGCTTATATTGGGCACTACTACCTGTACCAACCTCCACAAAATCTTTATGTTACAAGAAAAGATATTAAGAAGTATCTCTAAAGTGCCACTAGAACATCCAACCGATGATGTCTTTAGTAAAATTGGTGCATGAACATTTTTGATTCATATAAATATCGTTTCTGTGCAAGGTATAAAATAGAAACAAATATATCCCAATATCACATTAAAAACTTAGCGAAGCTAACAGATAAAATTTATAGATACCCAACACGAATTTAGGAACCTTGGGAAGTACCCTTTTTTAGAACAAACTACGGTCAGCAGAGTTTAAAATATACTTTGCCGACTACCCCTAACCAGCTTAGTAGGCAGGGTATTGAGCTTAGCAATATATCGGTGAGCATCTTACGGGAAATGTTTATTTCAAATGTTTATTTTGAGCCACATTGTTCGCAATAAGCGCTAAAAAACTCTTGCATCGATGTTTTTTTTTCGCGTTTATTTCAGTGATGTCCTAACGTTCTGCGCATGTTTTCACTATTGTGTAAATTGTATCAATATGCTAGTTATCCTGTATAGCGTCAGCTCTTTTTTTGTGAAGTTTGTCAAACATGTAATACAGATGTCATGTATTAATTTTGTATAAATCTTTGGCGCCTGCATCGCGACTGCTGGTATAGGTGGCTCGGGGCACGTCATGCTGTGTTTACAGTTTTTTTCCCGCGTCACCTTTTCAACATTGTATTTTGTTGCAAAAATAAAGGTATTATTATTATTATTATTATTATTATTAAAATCTATTGATGCGTGATTTAATTGCAACTTCAGTTTTTCCCGATTCTTCGCTAGTTATGAAATTCGCAATGCTTAATTCGTCATCGAAATAGTTATTTGGCACACATAGCTACTCTGGTGAGCGAGCGTTTCTCACAAGAAAGATGTAGAGCATACCTCAAGGCCAGCGTGCCATAATGAATAAGCTCAGAAGCGAAGCTTCTAAAAAAGTACGAAAATATTTTACGTATGAACCGTAACAATATTTACATTTTTTTATTTAATTTTGCAGGAAAAGTCGACTGAAATCTTATGGCAGAAAAAATCAAAGTGTAGTAAGGTGTTGGATGCCTGTAGCCGAAAATATGAAAATTCCGCAGGTCTTTTTAAGTTGTATTACTGTTCCACATGCGGCCTTGTTCAGTTAGCCATGCCACAACAATATCTCGAAAGTTACTCTTAAACCTTGTGCAAGGGTACGTAAATTTACTTACCTTTTCTAAAAACAGTTTCAAATATTCCAACACCTTTTGTTTATCACCAACACGTTTTTTTATGTGTTTACTATAATATATGTAAAGTTCCAGATACGCTGAACCTCCACGATAGAGTGTATCTGGAAAATAATGATAAGTTTGAAATAGACTTAAGGACAACAACCAGCTCGTGAACGTTTATATTTAATAAATACCTGAACAACCGGTAAGCGCCAGATTTTGTTTAAACTTCATTACTAAGAAGTCATAATGCAATCTTCAAATACACACGACTAAACTATAAATGTCCGAAAATAAACGCCCAAATCGCAACATACATTTCAGTAAACTAGTGGTTTAGAATAGCTCTGTATTATTGAATACGCCCAAAACGTTTCGCGGCCACTAGTTCAGGGAAGAGATAGAAAAAATTATATTTACCTTCGGCGTAAATAAATATGTTTATGTCCTTTGTATTATCTAGATAGCCCTAATATGCAAACTCGCGTTGCACACCCTAACACAAGGTTGAGAAAAATATACACACCTTTTAATAGAGTAAATAAAAATGTATAGCATTTACATCATATCATCCCAAGAATGGTGCTTTGTCGCCAGTCTAGGCCGCTTTAAACATAGCACATTGATTCATCAACCTGCTTGATCTCTAAAAACAGTGTGGAAAAAGCCTCCACCATAAATTCAAATATGTCAGAAAGTACAGTTTAATCAAGATAATTTCATTCGTTATCTAAAGCCGCACATTATTGTTGTAACAAAAAGCCAATTTAGGTTTTTAGTTAGCAAGAAAATTTGATTCGCTGCAATGCCCCTAAATCAAACGTCAGTCGCCATGTAATTTACAAACATGGAAACCTCATGAAAACAGTATTCGCACATTTTTTATTCTGCTCTCCTAAAGGTCCCAGCCGATTTCTTTTTTCTCAACTTCGTTGAAACGGTGCCACTGTTTCCAACACCTCTGCGGCCAGCTGCATATGGAATATAAAGGGTATCGAGGCCATTCATATCTGCTTTGAACTTTTAGCGCCAAATGAAAAAAAAATGTCCTCAATAATGTTCAATTGTGCCCTTTGAACCCAAGCTCAGTTTTCGATCCACCTATCAAGAATTTTAGAAGCGCTCAAGGCTTCGGAATGGTCTCAAAATAAAGACGGAAAGTTCTAAAGACAAAACGGATGAAATCCCTACATGTTCATCTCTCTCTGTTGGCCTCTAACTCTCTATGTAGGTCTAAGTGAGTGTGCAGGGACGCATAATTATCTTTATCTGACCAACGAAATAGTAGGTAGAGGGTTGAACGCCCGAATTTTCTCATAACAAGTACAGACGTGCGAAATTATTTTAGTCGCGCGAAGTGCACGGTGGAGAACGCGACCATGAAAATACCCTTTTTTTATTGGGAAAGTCATGTCTGATCTAATAGGCGTCAACCACCTTAAAGTACAATGGTTGTGAGGTTGAACTAACTAAGGAGCATACTTCTGCAAAAGGTAGATATATCGTTTTTTGTTCTCCGCATCAATCTCCTCCTATACGGCAAAAACTGCAGGATAGCTGCATTCTGTTGATGTGTTGTTCCGGGTGGTTATTCCACCGCTCCTGCCCCCGCCGGTAGAACAAATTACGCATGGTCATCACGTATCTTGACTTTTACCAGTGAGTGTTTCGATCTCCACTATGTGCTTTTAATGCGAAAGCTTTAACTGGGGGGTCCCATATAGTTAAAAGGCGTTATCAGCTTTTGAAGCCGCACCAAACGGCACCTAAACTGCCCTGTCGCAATGCAGCGAAGCCTATCGTCTGTAGCAGCGATTTGATAGATAGGCCTCCATTGGCTGTCGCGCGTCATAGTTTCAAGGAACGAGGCTCCCATTGGCTGCCGCGCGGCGTAGTTACAAGGAACGCCACCTCACAGAGAAGCCCTCTCCAGGGCGGCGCAGCTGCCCGGCCGCCGGTAAGAGGGGGCGGCTGGTCGCAGAGCCAGCAGAGCCCGCCCCGGCAGACTACGGAAATGCTGCGCGGCCAAACTCAGCGCGGAGAGGCCACTTCACGAGAGCACGTGATCGGTCGCCGGCCGCAACCTCGGTAGTTGACGTAAACGTTGCCGTTTACGCCAATATGCATGCTGCTGGCAAACTATGGGAGCGAAGACCGACATTCATGCATTCGCATTCACAACTGATAAAAAGCGCTTAGATGTCCTCGGAATTTATTGCCCAAAATTCATGTTGTAAGACAAGGAGACTTGAAAAACATATTCTCAGGTTTTCTTATTACCCGCATACCACTATCTTCCTATATTTCGTAAAAGGTCAACTTAACATTAGTTAAAAAATTATTACCCATGTCACTAAATATCAGTGGCCAATAGACCAATCGACGTTTCAAATAAATGCATACCTGAAATACGCGCCATAACTGCGCTTCCATCCGGGCTTTTTGAGTCCACTTCGAAACGTCCATTCAGCGACGTAGCTGAAAAAAGATCAGGGTATCTCAGTAAACGTTCCCTTGGTGCCAATCATTATAAGCAAGAAACAAACAATATTAAATATAAAACACAAACTTGAACAACGAAACATCTTCTAATTGCACCAGAGAAATCTGTGCATTTCTTTTTTGTTATTTCTTTGACATTAATAACGGGGAAAGTAAAATCGATGTTTAGTTTTTATGGGCCAGTTTTAGCGAAACGTGAGAAAATATTTCGATTTAATATCCCATCTATCTTTTTTATTAAGACAATGCGCGATATACAACACAACATATTGGGGACGCCGTGCTTTGGAAGAGTACACCGTTTATTGACCGTGACAGCTTAAACGAATACTACAACGAAATTTCGGCGCTTAGTTTTTGGTCTATGAGTGTTCAAAGGAGCAGTATCCATCGGACACACCAAAATGTTGTTAAAAAAGACCCGAAAAGAAATTTGAAAACAAATTAACCGGTTAGCAAAGAGCACCTGGTGGATGTCGCTAAAGCCACGTTCGAAATGCCAGTCTAGGAACCTTGACAGGTAGTGACGACAACTGTCTCGTCTAGAGCTATACATGCTTTGAACCTGACGTCCTCCCGACAGCTCTACGGCCAGCAGAAGAGAACAGAGGAGGGAAGATCTCCCCACTAAACGGCACTTTCTTTTGGGTGTCCCAGATATCTCTATTTTCTTTATACAAGATTATAGAAGATTAACCCTTCACTCAAAATTCACACAAAAGCAGCTTTGCGGTTAGTTACGGTGGCCCGATCGCTGGCGTGCTTCGACCGCTTCAGGGGCTGGAACAGCTAGGGCAGTGGTTCTCAAAACGGGGGTCCGCGAAGGCATTCTAGGGGTCCACGAAGCCCAACCTCATCAGACAAGCCCGGCAATAAAAGTTGTCTTTTCTTAGATTGAGAAGGAACGTTGCAATTTTCGGGTGAGTTTTCTCGTGTATATGTCAATAAGAGATGTCTACTTCACACTGCCACTTAGTTATATTCATTTATTAAATCACTATCATAGTTAACCTATACTTTCCCTTCCTCTGACCACAAACGAGGTCCTCCGTCATCTACGCCGATCCACAAGGGGTCCGCGAAATGTCAGTGGCTGTGAACCATTAGGCCAGGGTATCCTACCGAAGTCAGCCCCGTCTCGGCTTTGCTCATCCCAAGACCAACTACGTCACAATTGTGCCAGATGTGACGTGCTCTCCGCTGGCTGTTCTCCTAGCGCTTGCCAGAGTGGGCCGTTCATAACGAAAAATACAGCCATCACCCTCAACTTACGGACTTGCGATTGTCAGCTACAGATATCGTGGATCATTATCAGCCTATTTCTGAACACGACGGGTATATTTCAAATTTTGTCGAAGTATCCCTTCAAGACGACCATTTGTCATTCTTGGTAGGCTCACGCGAGAGGATAAAACATATCAGTTTTATATTCTGATCGACTATACGCTTTCTAAATATCCCGTCAACCCGAATTATTTATAGACAAGCATGTCAACATAATTTGCGGAGTACCATTTTCTTCAAGCCTCGGGGGTTAGGAAGGGAAGGGAAAGTGCGGACTTGCTGGCTATCGTCCTGTGTTCGGGCGACAACTAGCTGACCCTGGAGCTCCAAGAGGAAAGCTCAGCCAGCTTGACAGTCGGAGTGCTGCAGGTGCAGCCATCTCACGGCACTTATCTTCGTTCAATATCGCGGCGTCGAGTCGACACATATGACAGAAATTCGGGAGTAGGCAACGGATCGTCCCGACTTTTCCCTGAGAAAGGTAGTCTGCGGGAATAATCCCAAATTGAACGGCCACAAGTAAGGGAGCTGCAAGCGGAAGATATTATATTTTCTACCAGTGCAACTGGATGCCCAGTTATGAGATCTCGAGTGCGATGGCTCGTTTCCCCGTCGAAAGAAGGCTTACAAAACTGTAAGCACTTGCGGTCGGGGATTACTAAAATACCTTGTCTCCAATCGACGAAGGCGGGTGTTGTGTCCTACTGTGCTTATCTTTCACCTCTTCTTCTTTGTGTTGTCCGGTCTATCGCGCTATTCTTCGATACATCTTCTTTTTTTTCCTCTTTTGTGTTCGGTCTGAATAAATCAGTTACTCACGAGACTCTGCCCGCGATGGTCGTGCTCTGATAGCCGTCCACGAACCGCCCAACGCTACAGCGGGGAAGCTGACGACGTGCCTTTCTGAGATTTTTTGTCCCTCTGCGGGCGTGCATGTGTGCAGCTGTGAAAGGCTACTAGGCGGAGCCTAAACGTTTTTGAAACTGCAAATCTGCAAGCATTGGTCGCCCACATTGACGGACGATATTTTCACATAGGGACATAGGGAAATGTGAACCTTTAAAAAGAGCACACTTACTGGGGCGTGTGTGCTCTGAAACCTAATTTCGTCCAAGTGAATATTGTATAAATAGGCCCTTTGCCCTAGGTTCCCAACGGCCTGCCGCATTCCTGTCCTTTGCCTGGCCCAAGTCGCCCCTTTAGAACCAGGGACACCCGCTCGGTTCGAAAACAACGGCAGTTCATAAAAGAGCACAAAACAGGCGGACGGCGGCTTTTCCATCTGAAGTGGTAGTGAATACTATTGGCAAGTAATATTTTCTTCGTTTTCTAAAAATAGCTACGACGTGCTTTCCAAGTGGCTGCATTTTTTATTAGCTATTCTGCACTTCTTTATTCCTTATTTCATTCGTTCAGTACGGTTCATTCATTTGCATATTTAGATTATTCTAAGTGGGAATCTACATTTAAGAACAATACAATGCATATTTTCAGCCGGCCAATTCGTCTGGCCAAAGGGCCAAGTGTTGTAGAATTGACTCATTCTTCGAACCACTGAGGAAAGAAGGCTCAACATCTAACGCGGACGCATCGCCAAGAGCATCTGGTTCATCTTCGACGAGGGACCTACTCTTGCCCTTCGTATCCTAATGTTCGTTGGATTTTCGTCGGCCCATGCTACTGGCTCCTTGCAAAAGGATTCTTCCGCGCTACGCCACTCAGCATAGCTCTCCGTTTGCACGTAAAACTCACGTTAAAGGTATAAAGTACGAGCACATCCTCCTACATCGCAGAAGTAAATCGTAATTTGAAGATAGCTTAATGTAGCTTCATTTATACGATTGCAGCAATTTACTAAGATAAATTGGCGCGATATCAGTCATGTGCACGGCTGTCTTCAATGAAGCCATGGGCGCTGGAAACGTTTTTCTTCAAAACATTTCACAACACCCGCTAGATCGCATGACACAATCTATTAGGGACATTTGTTTTTAGTACATAAGGAAGCATAGCCTTCCCACATGTGTCTAGAAATTTTCAAATTGAAATTTATAAATGTCTGGAATAATTTTTGCATATTTTGGATGTCAATTTACCTCTACATAGTGCAGCTACTGGAGCGAAGAATTTGGAAAATAAAACGGCTACTCCAGTCTTGTCAGCCTTATTTGTTCTCCTTGTGAATAGGCACTCACGGTTGGGTCAGCACCAACATGTATCTCGGAAATATGCCTCAGTTTTATGTTCCTAATTCACAAAAATTACCTCCAGACTTTTGTATTTCTAAGCATAATTTGGGTGACGCTTCGAAATGTTACGGGTGCCCGGCTGCTGTGTCGTCATTGCTCCGTTTTTACCCTCCTCCTCTTCGCGCTTTACTGCGCCACTGCGCTCTCCTCGCCAAAGCGAGGTAGAGGAAACAACGCGTCCAACGCTCCGTGATGTTCGTTGTCCTTTAAACTGTCCGTCGATGCATTATTTTTTTCGCTTCTAATATAAGCAATGAATCACCAACTAGACATACTTTAAGCGCTAAACGCGTCACGTGATTGCATACCGCTAACGTAAGGGCACCAGGCCGTTTGCGAAACTAAAATACGGTAGGCGTAATTTTAAGCCTCTATGAGCGATTTTGAAAATAAGTTCTCTTCATTTTGCGTGTGTGTTTCATACTTTGTTTGGAAAAGTTGCCTGTGCGCAAGATTTTGTTTGCATTTGTTGCACCCATTTTTTTATTTATTTATTTCATATACCCTCAAGTCCAAAGGCATTAGACAGGGGAGTGGGTACAATGTATAAGTATAAATAAAAACAATGCAGTGATCACTAGTACAGTAAATTGACTTCTTTTTATACGAATAATGAATTTATCAATAATTAATTCATTAATAAGATTTAATAATAAATAAATAATATCTATATATATATTTTTTCATTTATACATTAAATACCCTTGGGCCGACTGCATCAAAAAGGGGAGTTGGTATAGTACAGAAAAATTGAATGTTTACAAATCTCTGTAATGCGAAATTAGAGCGCAGCTCTTCAGGAGGAGGAGGTGAGGACATGCCCCTCCTCTTGTCCTCCTCTCCCCTCCTTCTCCCCTTCCCTCCAGATCCTCTCCCCTCCTCCTGCCGTCCTCGTCTCCTCTTCTGCGTACCCTCCCATCCTCTTCCTCCCTACCCTCCCCTTTCCTCCTTCATACCATCTCTTCCTCCCACAGTTTCCCCACTAAATTAAGCCACAGTCACAACATACATAGGGTATATTCACTGGACGCCATATTTGAGGGCATTATTTAGGGCGCATGCTCAGAACGAGCCGACATAAATAAGACCGATAATCTTGATGGTTAGGAATAGACGTTGGTATAAGAACAGCGGAAGCTGACCATCAGCACGCGCTCAGCAGTCGCGCACACAGCTATGGCCGCCAGCGAATACTGAATATAACTTGCAGGTGTCGCCATTGCTGAGTACTGATGCTTATTACTATTTATTGGTTCCCTCGAGCTTCTACTTCTACGGTGTAAAACTAACACTGGGAATGGAACGCTCAAGGCACATAAAGCAGCGGCATGGAGTGATGTTACAGGCAAGCCACGTATAGGCCACAGGGCGTACGGTCTGTGGCCGTACGCCCTGTGGCCTACAAGGCGAGATTGTCATGCGCTGACACCACCAAGGAGTACTGCTCGTAACCACAGTACCCTTGGCCATGCAGAGGCCATTGACGTCTCAAGTGCGATGCGCATTGGGCTTGTTGCTGGCTGATTTTGAAGTGAGAGGTACAATTATCGCGGTCACGTCATTTCGTTTCTCAACTCCTTTAGAAATAACACTAAAAATAAATCGCGTGAACTGCCCATGCCGCAGAGGACGCGAGCTGGGCCGCTGTCCAGAGCGGTGAGCGAAGAATGTGGAATCACGGCTGCCGGAGCGGCGTCTATCGTCGCTTCAATCAGACCGTAGCTCGTCGCTTTGAAGCAAGCAAACGTAGAGTACCTTCATACACACGCGCACTTTCGCTTGAGTGGTGACATCTCAGCAATTTTTCCGCCCAATCGTTTTTTTTTTACGCATCTTGAAGTGCGCGCAATCCGGTGTCATTCAGCTCGAGCGCGTAGCTTTGGCTAATGCATAGACGTCGTTTTACCGCCCAAGTGACGCACCGAGTGCGCCAAGAGCTTCACGCGCTGGCACATGCAGGGCAACATTGGATGTCTTCACCCTGATACAGACAGACATTTAGGCACCTTAAGCAAACGAGCAGGCCAGCAAATGAGAAAGAACGCTCGTGCGGACTGCGCGGGTCTCGACAGCAGGCGGCGACACTTTGTCCCTACCCTACCCCCTGCTTGTACTCTCACAACGCCTACACACACAAACAGCAGGCGGCGGTGGAATTCGGTCGGCGCTCCGGAGCTATCCACACTTTTGCCCCCTCCCCCCCCCCCCCCCCCCCAGTACATTCGTTTCAATTTTTAACGAAGTAAAAAAAAAGTTTAGCACTGAAATGGTTTCTGGCATGGGACAATGAGTATGAAACTTAGCATGCTCAGTCGCCTGTGACCTGTACTGGTACAAGACCGTACACTCTAAGGAAGGCCTGCTCGTCTAGTTACCTGCAAAACCCTCAGAGAGCCAAACATTGCTACCTAGGAAATCAGCTCAGCGAATGATGAGGCGGAACGTCCATTTAGACCTAAAAATAAAGTCTGCGCTGTGGCATAGCGCAATGCAAAGCGCCAAGCTTGCATTGCGTAATGCCACAGCGCATATTTAATTTTCAGGTCTAAAACAGATTTTCCGGTTTATCATTCGCTGAGCTGATTTACTAGATAGCAATGATTTGATCTTTGAGTGTTTTTGCGGGTAAGAAGACGTGCAGGTATTTCTTACAGTGTACCCAAGGGGGGCTATGCAAGACGGCGGCACTAGACGGGACGAAGAGACCGAGACGTCACCGCCTGCTGCGATTGGTCAGCGGGCCGCTGACCAATCGCAGCAGGAGACCACGTCCCGCCCCCGGTCCCTTCGCCCCGCCTCGTCCCGCCGTCATGCGTAAACCCGCTGGACGCCATAGAATCCAGTGGTTGGGCCGTAGCGTTGCCCGCGGGAGAACAAACTCGCTAACGTCTGGTTTTGGTTTTACAATCAACTATGCACGGTGTCTGATTTTTGTGCGAAGCGATTTATTTTTATATGAGTATATGGGTGAGAGTTAGAAGAGCGTCGGGTTTTCACCAAGTAGTTATAGGGCACGGCGGCGACTAGATGATGGAATAATCGTCACGATAAGGCTGATAATGAACTAGGATATGTTCATTAACTTTAATTCTTAGTTTTTGGGTGATATTGAGATTGCAGTATTGACTGCAATTAATATTAGATGCAAAACATATTGAAGAAATTTGCGCATATCTAATAATCTAAAATCAAAATTTTAATTGATAAGATATCACGTTTTTAGCCCGATATAAAAATGGCGCGCAAAAAAAGTGCCGGAAGTCCTGTCCACATTGAGAAGAGTTAAGTGGTCGCTTCAATCAAGAAAAATATCTAATCGTCGTGACAGCGTCCATGCATAGGTTCTAATTTGTCCAGCATTATGGCGATTTATACTTTTTACTTAATACTTTAATTAACGCGTAACGTTAAAAACAAGTAAAATTCTCCGGAATGCATTACAGAACGTTGTTTGCTCCCCAACAAAGCTTGCCCTCTAAGAACGCACATCCAAGAAGAGTCAAGTTTTAATTGCGGAAATATAAACAACATAATATACATGATTTCTTTATATTTCCTCATCATTCAATATTTTACCTTGCTATTAATAAAAATAAGGCTAACAAATTGACTTTTGGAGAAAATCGATTCGGAAATTGCTAGATTTTCGATGCATTTCTTGCTTAAAATGTAGGATATTATATTAATACAATATTGAATATAAAATATAGTATTTGTATTAATTTGCCAAAACTCGTCAGTGGAACACAGTTCGACATTATGAAAACGTTATTGGAACATATAAAATAGTTTTTTTTTCTGGTGTTTCTGAAGCATAATGTAAATTATTTCAGGAATGTCGGAAAAGAGTCCCAGTGCTTTATTTATTTTGAGAAGTTAGAAAATAGCGAGTGGTTTCTGCTCGTTTTTTTTTTTCAATTGTTAATAATTAAAAAAACAAAGCAATCCGCCAAGCTTGCCGTTCGCACTTTTTTTCCTTTCAAGCATGCTCTTAAAAATATATTCTTGGGGGAAAATAAATATTAAATATACTAACCGACCATGAATTGAGATGAAAACACCTTGTTATGGTTCTCAAGAAACAACAAGCTCTAGATACTGACTGTTGAAACCGGCGTACGCATCAGGTGACACACAAGGTTTCAGTTTCCTCCTTGGGAAACCGGAGTAAGAAACACGTAGAACAAAAAAAAAAGTTAATATTGTATCTCGGGCAAAAGACTTACCATACGCCACGAAGCAAAGCACGAGGAATACTTTCCGCAGAACCATGATCACTGTTCTCTTTCTCTCAACGTTATAACCAAGACCGTTTTCCTGGCCGTATATAGACTTATTTACTATTTGGCATCATTCGAATAAAACAAAACAAAAAGTTTCTCGTTCGTCACCTTTGATTTTTGACGAGGCCTCACGCACTTGAGGGCCATCTTTATATGGGTTTCTTCTTTTCTTCTTTTGGTGTGCCCTTTCCCTGACAAGGCGCTGCATGTTCTTCTGAGAGTCCGAGATGAGAAGATTGTTGTACAAATAACAGGCGGCTCGTCAAAGTACGGCAGAAAAATGTTGATAAAGGTAAAGAATGAAAAGGACAGGTCTTTCATCTAGAAATAATAATAGCAAGACATCTGAAAGCAGCAGGCACCGCGTGTCTTATACGTGTAACAACTTTGCTCCCACTTGTTTAGGCTTCAGAAGGTCATAATGGACGTGCAGTAGTTTACTTTTCATGTAGATATAAAACATAAATGCCAGAAATAGTCCAGTCTTCAAAGAAAACTAACTCGAAGATACATCAACTGTAAAGATTGAAATGTAAGTTTGAAATAAAACCGAAAATCGCGCGACATTTAGAACACAAAAAATAGTTCCCTGCCGTCAAGCAAACCAACTAGATGCATTTATTCCGAAAAAAAAAACAGATACTATTTGAAAAACAAAAAGGCTCATGGTCTTGTGAAATAAATTCCTTCAGTTTGTGAAACAAAATAGCTTGAAACAAATCTGACATGTTCGAGATTTTGCGCAATTTCGGTTGCTCATTTGCAAATGCACCTTAAAAGCTGAAACATGCACAAAACACGAATCCAGCCAAGCTTGTACCACGCTATATATGGCTTGGACGTGACGCTGTAATCGTTTACTCTTGTTATTTTCAATAAAAAGAATTTTGACGGTGCAAATTGCATGCTGGAGGAGGTACGCTCTCAGCATCGAAGACACACCAATTGCCGATATTGTGAACTCATTGCAAGTCATGAATTACTTATGTGAAAAGGGCATCCATCGCAAATAAATCGGAGAAATGTTTTCGTTCAAAGCATATTTAGAATTCCTGTTCCTTATATAGCCCCGCATGATACGAATAAAGCACAATCTGTCCATCTGAGAAAAGAACTCTTGCACGCAGAATGCAGTTAGGGTTTCGTGTTGTCGGAATACTTTTTCTTTTCCTTCAAATTCGGAGGTGCATTTTGTGGTATATTTTAACGCGATTAGCTCTGAAGGGCAGCTCCTGTCTATAGTTTTGACTTTGGGATTAAGACTGTTTTTAGCGCAATCAGCGTCCCTGAATCACAAGATGCTATTTTTTCTCGGCGGTATGAAGCAGTCGCGCGATGCGACTAGATCGTATCATGAAAAAAAAATGAGATGGTCACACTGAAGCTCGCGATGAGCAAGTTGCGCATGGTTACTTCTCGAAAACTCTCGCTCCAAACGCCGCTGATTGGCTCAGCCGCTTCGCGACTAGGTCGCATCACAGAAAGTCGGGTCAACTAGTGACCAGGGTTGTAAAGTATCTAGGTACAAGTAACTGGAAATCGGTATCTAGGAACTTTTGTTGGACCTGAGGTACAAACCTAGGTACTTTAATTTCTCGGTATCTGTATTTGTATCTTAGGTTCATTTTCCACTAACTTGTAACTAAGAGAAGCTACTTTTTACAGGTACTTTTCTATTCACTTCGTAAAAATGATAGAAACTATAAGTCTTGAAGTATTAACACACCACCATGTGCCGTGAATAACATGAGTTGGGTACAGCATTGGAGGCACTGACTTGATCGAACGACGTTTTAGCGAACGAAGCCCCGCCTTTGATGCTTCATCGAACGACACACTTTAGTGAATGTAGGTGTTCATTTGAGCGAGCGGTGAATTAGCGATGCCGTTCTAACGACACCAATTTGTTTAATCGCTTCCGAACTCCATCTACGGAAAATAGCGACCTGCTTCCTTCATCTCAAACTGAAATCGACTTCATTGCGTATTTGAAGTTCCTCTGACAGCTATACTTGAAAGGAGATAACTTGAACGATGTGGGAAGTTTCCGTTGCCCGTATCTTGTCCTGGTCGTGGCACTGTTCTGCCATAAATACAAAATATAGTTGTAAATAAATTATAATTGCAACCGTAAAGCAATGTAACATTGCGTATATAGTACAGTTTCCACTCAATAAATCGGACTCAAATTTTGCAGTTATCAAAACGGAGAAAGTTTCGAAAAAAAAAAAACTCATTTTTCTTCTACCGAAAGAAAAAAAAATAAAACGAGGAAGCTTAAAGCCTTTCGCTCGTCGTCGCGAAGGTTAGGTGCACATGCACTCGACTCATGCGTTTCTTCATGCGGCCAACGTCTTCCGGGCCCGTCGGCCCGGAAGACGTTGGCCGCAGTTGGCCGCGGTTTCGGTGTGACATGGTAAACAGTGTAAGCTGTGGCCTCGGGGAACAAATTGGAGCGTGGGGACAAAGCCCGTGAGGACTCCCTACCGATGTGGACATCGCATTGACACCAATAAAGCACATTTATCGAACTTGTTTTTAAGTGTATCCTTAGTATAATAAGCTCTACCTCTAATCAATGATATTGCAGTGAGTGCGCAGGGGAGCTGGTGGAAAGTAACCATTCTGATGTTAGCCTGAGACCGAGGAAGGTTTTCCTGCCTCAGTCTCAGGCTAACATCATAATGGCTACTTCTAATATATTTTTACTAATTTGGTGAAAATAAATTAAGACAGTATCTTTAAAGTAACTGTGCCTGAAAGTTTTTAAAAAAGTACCTAGGTTGTTACCTAAGTACCTTTTTGTATGAGTAACTGTAACTATATCTTAGGTACATTTTTAAGTAACTTTTACAACCCTGCTAGTGACTGCTCGAATCGCGTCGCTTTGTTCTCGCGATGGTCGCTTTTGCGATGAAAGTTATCACGCGACTACATCGCATCGCCGGTGTGAACGCGTATTTAAAGATCTAGACGCCTCAAAATTTTGTTTGGGGCGTGGTCGACAAAGCCTAAACTAGCCGCTCGAGGCGACGTCAACACTGGAAATCAGCCGCTAGGCGGACGCGACGTCATGATCGTTCTCGTCCTTACCTTGTTCCCCTGCAACGACTAATAAGCGGTCCAAGCGGCACCTACCTATGTTGCTCTAGCCATTTTTAGGCAGTCAATACTAGAAACGCGGTACCGGTAACTTGTCACTTTTTTCAGTAACTTGTCACTGTAACTCGTAACTGCTTAGTGAAAAGAACTTTTATCTGTGAGAGAGTCACTATTTTTGGAAGTAACTGTAAAAAGTCGTGTCGTTAGAGTTACTTCTTAGATTTATGGGCAAGAAATATTGCAAACATGGCCACCAAATCGTCTCGCAACACGTGAGAGTCCCAAATCTTGGTACGGGAAGTGCACAGCAAAAACTGCTGCAGAAAACGTCTGGGGCAGGAAGGAAAAAAATATAAATAAACAAAATTTTGGGTTACCCTGCTTGGCCAAGCTGGTACCGCCAACTGGGAAGATTGAGATGTTTGTGTCCGCGCCAGCCATATCTCGGATATCGCCCACAGCGCCCGCAGATGTAAGAAAACGCGGCATCTATAAAGCGTTTTTATATTCTTAACCCGGCGGAGGGCGCGAGGTCTTTTTGCAGAGGACAGCTTTTGGCGATTGTCGCCCCAAACTCTCGCAGGCCTACGACTCACAACCGATTGTCCGAACCTCGTCTTCTTCCCGCCAAGCATACGTTCCCTTCCTGTCTCATTTGAATCATCCAAATTCCAGAGGCACTCTTGTGGGGTGTCGACTTCAGGTCCATTTTCTCTCCCTTTTTTTTTTTTAAACCTGATTGCCGGCTTTGCAGTCCGTCACCCACTTGAGAAAGAGCGTTCCCTCGAAACGTTTGTGTCGTTCCGCTTGTTTTTGTGTTTTCTTGAAATTGAAAGACCGACCTTAGCCGGGACCAGGGGCACTTGGCATCAGTTGATTTCTAGATATTCCCGTCGTGTGATTTCCGGGTAGTTTCTTCGATTTCGGGTGGTGAGATGGAAGAGCACAAGCGTATTCAACCTTGTTAGGAAGTGGCGGAGAAAACATCGCTGCAGCCGTTGGGAATCCACACGCTGTGGTCGTTTGTTCCTCGATTGGCGCTTATTTTGTCGGAGGAATGTTGCGGCAATATTGCTTTCCAAGTGGTTCATGAAAGGTTGTGCACACGCAGTAGAAAACGACCCTACCGACGAGTGAACTGGAGTGGCATAAAAAAACACCTACTATGCGGATTGCAAGGTATGACTTGTATTATTATTGACTTCAGATTTGCACGATTTTTATTGCTTCCGTCCGATTTCGTCTCAACAAAGAAATTCAAAATTAGAATCGGCTGACTGTAGACTGGCACCATGATTGGATATATACGAGACCTGGACGCCTGCTGTTGTGTTCGGGGCTACCTCATGGTGGTCGCCCTTATTTTAAAGTTCTTCATGGACAAGGTATATGCTATGTTAAAAATGTGAAAACTAAAGTCGCATGTAATTTGCCAAAGAAGACACTCCAAATTTTTTATCACATAGTAGATTTAATCGGATACTGCCTTAAATGATAATCTTGTTCAAGGAACTATTCTGGTACAAATTAAAATAAGAAGAACCAAACATGTTAATGTTGATTATTAAGAAAATCTTAGTTTCTCAAATTAACCAGATTCACTACCGTGAACAACGCAATGTCTTATAAAAAATCTATGCTAATTGTATGGCATGTTGTCACGAATAACAAATGATGAGGCAAAGAATAACTAAAGAAACTAAACGTTTAATGAGGGCAACTTGTGCCCAAAACAAAATAAAAGAAAGGTAGCGTCGCAGGCGTCGTTGTCGGCGAAACAGCGGGATCAATCGCTGGAGCAAGACTGACTCCGCTCGCCTAGCGGAGTCCCTTATGTACCCGCGTGGATTTTTGGATCATTTCGCGTAGAACTTTCGGTGTTAAGAG